CTTATTTTTCCTTTCAGCAATTCCATTTTGCTGAGGTGAGTAAGGAGCAGTAGTTTGATGAATTATTCCATGTTCTTTAAAATTCACCAATCAGCACATTGGATATTTAAATGCTCTTACAAAAAATAAAAAATTTCCAACAAGATCTCAATTTTGAGCCTATTTCAAAAATCAAGCTGCAAATTCCTTACTTCTAGAATCAAATCTTCCCCTCGGCAAAATTTATCCTTTTGACCTACAAATAAATAGATAACAGTTGCAAATTATAATCTTTTGGAGAAACCAACTATTTAAACACTAGTAATGAAGACAATGAAAACTGTGGAAAGAACACTTACGTTGTCATCAGGAACAACTGCATATCTCTCAGAGTAAACTTTAATCGGGTCTACTGGTTTTTCTGTGACATCACTATCTCCTGAACATCACAACGAACAAACCAAAGTTAACACCAATATTTCACTATCACATCATCATCAATTATTATCATTCAATTATAGATTAAGGTATACTTAGTCTCAAATGTCCCTCTATTCCATGAATATATACATGTGTATGTAGGTATTTATTTATTTGCATATATATATATATATATGTATATTTATTCATAGATAAATATTTTTTAAAAAAATGTAAGTCAAATAAATCCAACCCCTGCTGCTAATTACACACACAACCAAGTATTACTCATAAATCCGCATATATTTGTAAATTGGTAAGTGGAACCAAAAGCTAATATCAACTCAGTTAGACAAACAGTTATTTTCAAACCTTAAAAACTACTAAATTGGTATGTAGAACCAAGAATCTACTGCTACATAGTCATATGCAGGCATATAATTCCTACTCAAATAACTGATTCATTGCCTTAATCCCAATATACATTGAAACCTGAACTACAAACATGTTAGATGAAAACAACTTCGTTTTGTGAACATGGCTGAATATTCTACAATTAAGTATGGTCAAAATTTTAAAAGGAATGCAATGAGATACAACAGTCTTTGCTTCTTGATGGGTAGAAATTAGTAGAAGTTATTACTAAAATCTTAGTTATTGGCTGTATTTATTCAAGACTGTAAAGCTTTCACTTTAACTTTTGTTGCTCCAGAAATACCAATTTGAGTAGTGCTAAAGATTTATCTTCCATTTCCTTCTTGTTCTTGTTTATCCCTAATGTTCTCACCACGTGGGTTACATATTTTCCAAACCAAGTATTATGTATTATTCTGAAGTAGTTTTTTCTATTTATAGTTCACTGTTATGTATATAGCATGTGAATTCAAATTCAAATGATTTGAACACACCTATTCGATACAGGGATGTCAATAACACAAGAAACGATTGAAAGAATTATTGGTGAAAGACTTTTGCATCCTTCTCCCCCATTCTTCGATATCCTTATCATGTACGGACACAATCAACTTTGGAGTGTTATCTCCATCAGTAAATGACAACAACAAATTCAATCAAGAGGAATTGAAGAACAAGCAGCAGTTCAGATTAAACAACGAATTTTGATCTAATTTTCTTGATCTACATGAAATGGTATCTCTAAACAAGAGGGATCTATATATTGCCTACTTTCAGATCTAAACAAAGCGGTAGCTATCTGGTTAAAAAAGAAAATGAAGCTAACAAATTAAAAATTTTAACCCTATATTCAACTTTCCTATGAATTAGAACAGAGTGTTAGCAATGAAATGATACTCTAGTGTATAATGGGGCAATTTTCATGTTGACAGAAAGATGAAAGGAAAGGAATGGCTATTCGACAGGTATGGAATGGTGATTTAGCCATATTAGTTGAATTGTCAAACCAATTGGAATGCCTATTCCATCAATTTTTAGCGAACCAAACATCAGAATGAGCATTCCGATCCAACTTTCATTACAATGAACCAAACACTGTCTAAACAATGAGTGGGGAAATTTTTTTTTCCCATTTGTAGAACACATGAAGTTAAATAGCAAACAAAATGAAAGGAATCATGGTCCAAACCTGTATACAGCAACGGAGCAAAGAGAGATACAAAGAAATCTACAAATAACTAAACAAGTTAGAAAAGAAAAGAAAAAAAAAATAAGAAGAAAGAAAGTGAAGTTTGTGAAACCAATTAATAAAGGATTGGTAGTCAAACCTTTTATTTTATTTTATTTTATTTTTTTTTGAGATTCCATGGAAACTTAACCATTTGAAGATTCTCTTTGCTTGATTTTTCTTTAGATTCTATTTTACCTACACAATATAACAGAGCAAAATTAAAAATCGAAAATAATTTAACAGCATAGTAAAATTAAGAAAGCCGGCAAGGCCACGACAGAATGCAGCATCGAAATCTTTTCTTCTTGTCTAGGGACATTTGCATTCAGGCATAAGTAAAGTAAATGAAAGACTCAATTATGCTACAACGTCAATTGTAAAATGAACAAGACAATGGAGTTCTATATGTTAATAGAACCAAATACCTGAGAATTCCATTTTTTCCTTATGCACTAAATCTGATTTTGCTCTATATTTTGGGTATTAGCAATAATAAACGGGAATAGAACCAAAGCAAAGAAAAAATTCATAGCACAAAAAAAAAAAAAAAACAAGAACAGCGGCGGAGGCAAGAGCCTGAAGAGCACCTTGAGAAACCCTAAAATTGTTGTCCTTCAAGAGATCCAAGCAACAGTCGACGAGAGAAGTGACCTCCAACGACGACAGGCTCTTTCTGGAGGCTTCTAGAAGTTGGTGCAGGCGCTCAACACCAGCCATTCTCTCCTTGGTGTCCTTGGCTCGAGCCATCTCCAACGCCTCCTCCATTGCCACAATTTTCGAAGATTTAGGGTTTCTCTGGTTGGATCTGGCGGCGGAGGGCTCGGATCTGCGGTGGATTGAGCGGTTCGAGTCGGTGAATTTGGCGGAGAAACAGTGTGAGAGAGAGTGTGGGTCTGTGTGTGTGAAGAGAGAGAGAGAGAGAGAGAGAGAGAGTAAAATGGGGATGGGAAGCTTTTGCTAGATCAACGGAAGAGAGAAGATATATCTATCTGGGTGCACTGAGAGTGCACTGAGACCTCCTAACCCGTGTAATAAGCCCAGTCCACCGCCACAAACATGATTTGTTTTTATTTTTTAAAAAATTTTACATTTTTATTTTTCGTATTTTTTTATTTTTATTAAATTTTTTTAATATTTTTTTGTAAGGTGATCCCTAGAGAGAGTCTGGTCTCTCAACATAAGATTTTGGTACTAAATTTATGTTTTAGAGGGCAATACCAAGCTAGGAAGGATAGTGGGCGTCATAGGATGAGATGGTGGGACCTAAAAAGGGATAAAATAGAAATATTTATGAATCGAATGGATAAGGAACATACTTGGGACTTAGAAGGTGATGCTAACACTATGTGGAACTCGATGGCTAATTGTATAAGGAGAATCTCAAGGGAAGTGCTTGGAGAGTCGAAAGAAACGGGACCCAGCTCTAGGGAAACTTGGTGGTGGAGGGAAGAGGTTCAAGCGGTAATTAAGGCAAAAAAAAAAATGCTTTAAAAAGTGACAGAATGATAGAGCTGAAGAAAACCTTGAGTTATAGATTGGCTAATAAGGAAGTCAAGAAAGTAGTGAGAGAGACTAAGTAGTGGCAGTAGTGGTAGTGGTGGTAGTGGAGTGGTGGCAATGGTAGCAGTAATGGTAGTCGTAGAGGTGAAGTTGGTAAAAAAGATGAGTAGTGAGAGAGAGAGAGAGATGAGTGAGAGACAGATAGAGGAGACAAAGCGAGAGAGAGAGACAGAAACAGAGTGATGAGCGAGAGAGAGACAAAGTGGTTGCTAAAAGTGCATTTTCTTGTAGTAGAGAGCTCAGTAAATAGATAAGCGATGAAGGAGAGAGTGAGTAATGTGAACACAATGGGGGAGATTAATAGTGGTGGTGGAATGGTGTTTGCAGTAGTGGTGAAGGTGGTAGAGGAGATGGGTGGTGAGTGAGAGACAGATAGAGGAGAGAGAGAAAGACAGAGTAATGAGCGAGAGAGAGATAAAGAGAGAAAGAGATATAGAGAGAGACAAAGAGAGAAATAGATAGAGAGAGACATATAGAAAAATAGAGATAAACAAGAGATGAGAGAGACATATAGAAAGAGAGCGAAAAGAGATGAACGATAGAGAGAAGAGAGAAATAGAGAGATAGAGAGAAGAGAGATGAGCGAGAGAAACAGAGAGAGAAAAAAGAGATGAGCGAGAGAAACAGAGAGAAAAAAGAGATGAGAGAGATAGAGAGAAGAGAGATGAGCGAGAGAGACATAGAGAGAAGACAAATGAGAGAGATAGAAAGAAGAAAGATGAACGAAAGACACACAGACAGACAGATAGACAAATAGACAGAGAAAGAAGAGTGATGAGTGAAAGAGAGAAAGAGAAGAGTGGTGGTAGTTAAATGGCATTTGCAGTAGTGTAAATGTGGTAGAAAAGATGGGTGGTGAGAAAGAGAGATGAGTGAGAGACGAATAGAGAAAAGAGATAGAGAGACAGAGAAAGAGACAGAATGATGAGTGAGAAAGAGACAAAGTGGTCGCTAAAAATGCATTTTCTTGTAGTGGATCGATAAATCGAAATGGAGCTCAATAAATAAAGAAGACAGATAATTCAAAACTCTTTTCAAAACTTAATTCAAATCAATTTTTTAAATATTTTAACAATATTTAATTTTGTGAGAGACAGATAAAGAAGAGAGAGAGAGAGACAGAGATAGTGTGATGAGCGAGAGAGAGAGAGATAGACACGATAAATCGAGAAGGAGCTCGATAAATAGATAAGATTGGAGTGAGAGAGTGAGCAAGGCGAACATAGTGAGGGAGAAATAGACAAATAGACAAGCAGAGAGAGAGAGAGAAAAGAGCGATGATTGAGAGAGAGACAGGGAGAGAGAAATAGACAGAAAAAGAGATAGATAGAGAAAGAGAGAGAAAGATAGAGATAGAAGGAAAGATAGAAAAAGATAGAGAAACAAAAGATGAGCGAGAGATAGACAAAAAGAGAGAGAAATAGAGCGAAAAGAGATGAGCGAGAGAGAGACACAGAAAAAGAGAGAGACAGAAAGAGAAAAGAAATTAGCGAGAGAGATAGAAAGATAAGAGAGAGAGAGAGAGAAAAAAGAAATGAGAGAGATAGAAATAAGAGAGATGAGCGGGAGAGACAGAGAGAGATGAGCGAGAGAGACAGAGAGAGAAAACAGATGAGAGAGATAGAGAGAAGAGAGATAGGCGAGAGACACAGAGAGAAAATGAGAGAGACAAACAAGCAGACATAGAAAGAAGAGTGATAAGTGAAAGAGATAAAGAGAAGAGAGAGAGATAGAGACAGAGAGACAAGAAGATTAAAAAAATGAATGAAAAGAGAAATGTTATATCAAAAGAGTAAGACGACATTGTTTTTTTTAATTTCTTTTGCGACAGAAAAATACTGTTGAATTTATTCAAACCATTTTGTGACTGTATATATATGAAGCTATCTCAAAACCACAATCACTATGCTAGGTTAAAGTTTTCCAAAAACTCTTTTACGAAAATTATACTTCTTGTTTTTCGTGTTATATTGTTTTTACTGAATTTTTTTAATATTTTAAGTATTTTTTTAAATTTTTAGACACACCTAACATAAATGCACCTAAAGAGCAAGATCCATGGATGGCCTGAAAGGAACATTGATGAGTGAAAAAGATTAGCATATTTACAAACAAATTCAAGATTAAGTCAAGAAAATGGTATGGGAAAAAAAAAAGTGAATGATAAAAATTGATGTTTCTAAACATTCAGGTATTGTTCTAGGGCACTGGCATGCTCAGGAGACAAGCCGAAATTGCGTTGGTGGAATCTAGTGTCACACTATTAAAAACCAATTCCATGCTAAATGTTAAATTTGTTTAAAGAATCATGGTCTAAGAAATGATCACTCCATTTGAGAGTTTAGCATGCATCAGACCAAATAACTCCGCCATTAAGATTTTCAAATGCCTTTAAACTGATATACTTCCAAAAATATTTTGAAAAAGTCAGACACGAGGCAACCATTCAACAATAGAAGTTGATTAGGCCAGCAAAACCTGTGGGCCCCAATCATTTTCATAAAAATGTATGCTCACACCTTTTTGGCTCTTTGTACTAACATAGGAAGAATGATATGTACTGGGAGACACAGAAAGGCAATACACATATAGGACCATTATGTACTTCGTCTCATGATCTTGCTATTCTTGCTTCAGTTGGTAAGAAGGAGAAGCACCTGTGAAGAATATCCACCATTATCAATACCAAGCACCAGGCATTACACAGACTGGCCATAATTAAAACATAAAACCCTTAGACCATTTACAAAGCTTTTTTGTAACAAGTTTCTATTGGTAGCTTAGTATCCACCGAATCATGTCAAATTATATCACTAAATTTCCAATTACAGGCTCCAACAAATGATAAGAAATTTTCCTAATTGGAAGAAACCACTCAAAAATAAATAAATAAATTGCAAAGATCTAATAAGTAAAGAAACAAAAAGATAAAAAGGTCCATATTCATTCCAACTTCTGGTGTTCAAAACTGCAGCAGAAAGAAAAATATTTAAGAGCAATAAAAGTAAGACAACAATATGGAGGGAAGGTTGCTTAGATACTGTGGTTTGCACTGGTATCAAACAAATTATTGAGGAAAGTTATTTATGGAAACAATAAAATAAGTAGTTCATGATACAGCAAAAATACTTCACATCCCAATTATTTACTGAAGGATCAAAAGGTTGGTGACAATATGCGTAAAAAAAATGCAAGAAGCCCCTATATGTTCATTATTCGAGGAACTTTCCCAAGCTCTCTTTTCTGACTCCAAAACAGTTATTTTATCATCTGCCAAAATGCCAAATGTAAGCCATACTAAAACTTAAATTGAAAGGCAAACTCATTCACACAGAATAATATGAATGAATTCTAACAGGGTACGCCTGTTAATTGAAAGGCAAACTAGCCGAAAGTAGGTATACGGCGACTAAAAAAAATTTTGTCGCCGAAACCTGACATTTGGCGACCAAAAGTTTGGTCGGGAAAGATTAAAAATTAATTTTTTAATTTTCATTCAGCTACCAAATAATTTAGTAGCCGAAAGTAGGTATACGGAGACTAAAAAAAATTTTGTCGCCGAAACCTGACATTTGGCGACCAAAAGTTTGGTCGGGAAAGATTAAAAATTAATTTTTTTATTTTCATTCGGCTACCAAATAATTTAGTAGCTAAAGGTACCTCTACGACTACTAAATTTTTATTTAGTCGCCAATTGTCATATGTTTAGCTACCAAAAATTGTTTTAGTCGCCAATTGTAATATCTTTAGTTACTAAATTTTTTTTAGTAGCCAATAATCAACATTCCCCTACTAAAAAAAATTAGTAGCTAAAAAGTTGACTTTTGCCGACTAATATTATTTTTGGTAGCCAATTCCGTGACTTTTGCCGACTAAATTAGTTTTAGTAGCTAAAAGTGGTCGGCAAAAATGCTTTTTCTTGTAGTGATTAGGCATAACTAAAAATCTCATGAGTTGTAATTAAAATATTATCATAATTAAGGAAGAAAATTAATCATAATTAAAGAAAAAAATGATATAATTAAGAGGTATATAATTCATCCTTTCTAATAGGTGTATATTAGAATTTTTCAATTCACATGGTTACTTATTTACAAGTTGATAACGACACACTCACATGGTTACTTACAAGTTGATAGTCATCTATATATATAACGAGATCTCATGCATGAGTTTCAGATATCAGAGCAAGGTAATCCTTCTCTCTGTCTCTCTGTCTCTCTGTGTGCAAGTTCTTAGAGGGAGTTTTAGACATCAGGGCAAGTAAAGGTAATCCTTCTCTCTCTCTCTCTCTCTCTCTCTCTCTCTCTCTGTGCAAGTTCTTAGAGGGAATGTGGGGTGGGAGGACCTGTTTTATTCTGTTCTGTTTTATCATTTCATTTTTGTTTAGTATTTGTAAATTTTCTTTTTGGATTAATTTAAGTTATTCTTTGAATATACA